AGGTTGAAGTATTAGGAAAGGAATTATTATTTTATACAGGTTTCAGAAACCAATCTCAGTCTTAAGACTAGGTCAGTGCAGTTAAACAGTGGTCTCTCATTTCAGATGGTGACGAAGACGATGGCTTCCCAAGTCAGGCCTATGGTACAAGCAATCAGGTATTTAATAAGAGACATCTCTATGGAAACAAAAGAAAATCAATGGTTAATAATTATAATTAACGATGGTTAATTATAATCCCCGTTTCTGAGTTCTGAAGGTAGACTGTTGAGAAGATTTCTAGATGTCTGGTTCGGAGCATCTTCAGCTGGAGCGAAGGCAGGCGGTGACGGTCTGACAGACCGCCTGCAGTTGAATGTCTCTGGTGACTTTTCTGCAACAAGCATGGGGATTGTCCATATATGAGCTCTTGTGGTGATTTCTCTGAAGTTGATATTGACAGTCATGATGAGAGGCTGAACTTGACTCAGAGCACAGGGAGAAGCCACTGGAGGGTTTAAGGAGGGGCGGGTCATGAGCCAGTTCATATTTCAAATGACTCCTCAGGCACTGGGTGGAGGCTGCCTAGAAGAGGGCTGGAACCAGCATCCCAGCTTTGGTAAGAGGCTCAGAGTGAGGCAGGGCAGGTGCCCCCCAGAAGTGTGGGGTGCCCTGGGGAGAGCAGGAAGGGAGAGCTGGCCAAGTGTCAGGTAGTGGGGGCTGGGATCTTTTCAGCTACCAGGGCCCAGTTCTTGCGGGCTGCACCTGAGTCCCTGGGCACCTGGCCTGGCACTGGGCACATGGCCCTGAGCCCCACCCTCCCTGGCGTTGGCTTCCACTGCCTCCTTCTACCTTGTCCCATCTCAGAAACTTGGCTGGTGGGGGAGGGAGTCCCTCAGACTCAAGACAGGAGGTCCAGGAGCCCAGAAGGCCCTGGAGGCTGTTTTTTAGTTCTTGAGCCTGCGACCCTGCACCACCTGGTTAGGGAGCTTGGCCTCCAGGCTGCTGGGGTGCCAGACAGGGCTCTGGGCCTGCCACAGACGGAGAGAAAAAGCCTCTCTTTGACTCAGCCCTCGGTTCAGGACTCTGGCTGGACCTGGCCACCACCTACCTTGGCCTCCTTGAACTGTTCCTCCCCGCCCCAGAGCCCTCCTGTTCTGGCCTTGAGGTTAGACCAGGGCTCTCCAGAGAACTCCAAACCAGAAGGGAACTGGGAGATAGAGCCCCCCCGCCGTGGAGAAGGGAAGCTGGGCCCCTGAGGGAGGAGACTGCAGGGAGACAGCAGCAGTTGACTGTGTTGTCCATTTCTCTGCTGTCTTTCTCCGACTCTCACCCACTTCCTGGGTCCTCATGCCATCAGCAGTGGGCACTGAGCTCCCTTAAAAACTGCCAGAGCCCGACCGGTGTGCTTCAGTGGTTGAGCGTCAACCTGTGAACCTGGGGGGGTCACAGTTAGATTCCAGGTCAGGGCACATGCCCGGGTTGCAGGCTTGATCCTCGGTAGGGGCTGTGCAAGAGGCAACTGATCAATGATTTTCTTTCATCATTGATGTTTCTCGCTCTCTCTCCTTCTCCCTTCCTCTCTCTGAAATCAATAAAAACATTAAAAAAAAACAACTGCCAGAAAAAGCTATCTGAGAAGGGCAGTTACTCTGGCACGGTAATAATAGCAAAAGATGCAAATATGTACAATATTTGTCAACACGAGCATTTACATGCCGGGACAGCAGCATAGTAGAGTGCCACGCAGCCATTAAGGACAAGGCCAATGGTCCCGAACAGAAACGAAGCAGGCTGCAAAATATATTGCAGACAAGGAGGTGCAGCGCTGTGGGTGTGGTTGCAACCATCTATGGTAGATGGACTTGGGCAGCTGCATCTCAGAAGGACCCAGAAAATGCTAAGGGGGGTCGAGGACTGGGAATTGGGAGTGATGAGGGGAAGACTTGATTTTTTTTCCCCTATACATTTATGCACTCGACATTTTTAAAAGACATTTATAATTTTTTAAAATAGGTTTTTATTGATTTCAGAGAGAAGAAAGGAGCGGGGGAGAGAGAGAAAAACATCAGTGATAGGAGAGCCTTTGATCGGCTGCCTCCTGCATGTTCCCCACCAGGAATCGAACGGCAATCTCCTGGATCATATGTTGATGCTCAGCCACTGAGCCACAGTAGCTGGGCCACTCTTGACATTTTTGATCATGTATCTGAAAAATTCTTCTAAGGAAAAATTTATCCAGAGGAAGGGGACCACTTCCAGCCTCTGATGAACATCCCTCAGCAGCTAATCGAGCCTGGAAATCCCAGGATCCCTGTGTCAAGGGATGAGGGAGCCCCTCTGCAGCCTCCACGCCACCCTCCACCCCAGCCTCCCTCTGCCTGACTCAGCTGAACCAAGTCTGAGAACCAGACTGAGGTGCAGCCAGGCATGTCTGAAGTGACAGATGTGAGAGCAATTGTGACACGCCCCCTGCCTCTGAGGCCAAGGAAGGCTGTGACCTGGAGATGTGATGGGGCCCTTGCCCGGCAGGAGATGAGGCCCAGCCCTGACGCTTGGCTAACCCCAGCAGGTGCTCCAGAAGACTTCCTGGGTGGGAATCCTTGGGGGATACAGACAGAAGTAAAATTCACAGGGGGTCCAATTGGGACAGACCCTTGATATTATTACTAGTAAAGATAATCACCAACCCAGGGACCATTTAATGAAGGCTTGAGCCAGGCACCAGCTCATGGAACCCTCATAATTCTCTGAGAGGATTACCCTCATTTCAGATGCACTGGGGCAGGGGGGTTAAACAACACTTCTGCTAACAGCCCTGCATGGCTTCCCATTGCCTGGTCAGACCAGCTCACCTTGGTCACGAGCAACTTTGCACTGTGGCCCCACTGCCTTCCTTCAGTTGGTTCTACTACTCAATAGCCGTGTGGCTTTGAGGAAGTTATCACCTCTCCGAGTCTCCGTTTCCTCCTCTGTAAATTGGAGATAATACACAGTCCTTATTTCATAAACTCGTCTGGAGCAAATGAATTCAGAAGTGTAAAGCGCTGGTAACCATGACTGGCTACCATGTGCGTGCCACGATTGTTCTTATGACCCCATATTTTATCAAACCTAAGATGTCATCGGTTGTAAAAGAAGCCACTAAGGAAAAAAAGAACACTGTCAGTTAACTATGTCCCAAGGCTCTTTCATCACTAGAATCTTTATTTTATAAGTCCCGAAGGAGCTCTTTTTGACTTAAATGTAGATTTTCATCATATAAAATTCTGATGCACACATAAAAAGGAAAACAGAAGCAAAATAAATTGTTTACAGTGTTCGGAAAATTTTTTCACATTTAGAGTCTGACAGAGATGCGATGTCTGTGTTTCACGCCACCTCCTCCTGGGAGACCTTGAGTGTTGGGGACCAGCTCCCCTTCCAGCAATCCATGAGACCAGCTTACAGCTCTTAGATCGGTTCTGGTCAGCTCTTAGGTCAGCTTTGCAATCGGCTTCTGCTTTGGAAGTGTTACTGATAAGGCTGGCTGTCCTCCCCGAGGGCTCCTACCACTTGGGTTCTGGGGTTAAAAGAGTGTTCTGCCCTTGCCTCTGGGTTTCTCCCCAAGCTGCCGACGCCCTTTCTGCAGAGTTAAATGCTTTGGAAGGGTGGGCACGTGCAGATCTGCTGCCAGCCAGACAGCAACCCTACATGTAACCTGACTTCAGAGATAAATATGAGAAATAAAGTCTTGGAATGGGCAAAACATGAATAATTTCTAAACTTTATACCGGCCATATTTCCAGCTGCCACAGAGCCACTGTACACTGTTCCCGCTGCCTGGAATGCCCTTCCTCACTCCCCACTTTGCCCAGTTAACCCAGTCATCACTGATCTCAGCTTCACTATTTAAAAAAAAAAGTTTTTATTGATTTTAAGAGAGAGAAGGGAGAGGGAGAGAGAGAGAGAGAAACATTGATGTGAGAGAGAAACATCAATTGGTTGCCTCCTGCGTGCACCCTAACCAGGGATAGAACCCACAACCTGGGTCTGTGCCCTGACCAGGACTCGAACCAGTGACCTTTTAGTGCATGGGCTGACGCTCAACCAACTGAGCCACATTGACCAGGGCTCCACTTTAAAAAAACATTTAGTTTTTTTTGTTTATTTATTTTAATTTTTTTGAGCCCCCTCTGGATGCCTTTCCCGAAGTCAAATCCCTTCCCCATCTATGCCCCTAGTATCGCTGCAATGTTACACTCTGAGTGTGTGTGATTTGGGGGTAGCTCTCTCCCCAGCACTGGCGAATGAAAGAGTGAGGCCCTGTAGCGAGCAGTGGCGGAATGGAGAGGTTCTGGCCCTTTTGTCTAAGAGACGAATGCTGCTGGCCTCTGCACTGAACCGCTCCCCTCAGAAGTCCCACACACTTATTTTACAAACGGAAACTGAGGCCTGTGAGGTCACTTGCCCATGGTCCAGACATCCTGTCTCAGTCCAGTGTGCATAGAATATGGGGGTGGGCTTCAGAGGGGGCTTGCTGGGGGAGGCGGCCTCTGAGCCAGGCTTCGCAGGTTGGGCGACAGTTTGGGTAACTTGGAGAAACATCAAAAGGAAGGGAAGCCAGCAGATGAGAAGACGAGGTGTGGGCACCCAGACTCACCCCGTAAGGCTGGGAGGCCCCTCAGAGGCTCTGGAAGGTGCAAGGCTGAGGTCACCCTCTCAGGTTTCAAGTTGGGAAACAGAGGCCCAGAGAGGGGAGAACTCACCTGCCATTGCCATCCAGCCACGAGTGCTGTGGGCCTTGCTCCTGGGGGGCCTCACCTTCGCCTGTTAGTCTCAGTCCCTGAGGAGATGCTGGGAGGGTGCAGCTTGGCCAAGTGGGGGCAGAGGAAGGGCTCTGGGGGTGCACAGGCGCCTGCACCCGGAAGGAGGAAGCTGTACAGGGTGTCTGTGGCTGGGCCCGGGATCCCCCCCGGGGACTTCCTCTTCCTCTCAGGGCAGGTGTAGCTGCCACAGCGAGACCAACACCCTGGCCCGTCATGGACGGGGGCAAGGGACCCAGACTCAGAGACTTCCTGGGTGGGAGCCTGGCCACCTGGGTGAGGCAGCAGGTGGAAGGGGTTGGGGAGGGGAAGTGAGCAGCGGCGAGGGGCTGGTGTAGGGGTGGGGGGAGGATGGGGCAGAGATGGGGTCTGAG